GACTGTACCCTGGACAGGGGATGCGCCTTGTAGTGGGGCGGTGACTGTACCCTGGAAAGGGACGCGCCTTGTAGTGGGGCGGTGACTGTACCCTGGACAAACACCGCTCTGCACATTGGGTGTGTCATTACGGGTAATCAGGAACTACCAAAGCCCAAGAGAGTTGTCATCACAAACACAATGCACACTACAAACTCCATTGATTTCCCAGCACCGCAGTCCCCGTGATGCAGAGAGACGTTAGTGAACGCAATACATAGATTTCAGCCGACTGTCCTTGGACGAAACCGTGACGTATATTGTGAAAACACAGTAACAAAAACATATACCTCGGGGGAAAATCGCGTTCAGCTAACTACACATTTCCATATAAAATAAACTGTTTTATAAATCATATCCTGTATTCCTTTTCTGTCAAAACACATTTGTGTTGCTTTACAAAGTGACACATTTATATTAAAAATACACAGGCCGATTACGTCATGACATATCGGGTGACTGTACCAAGGTGAATCTACTCGACATCCTTTCTGTGGGTTCTTCTGCTTCTTCGCAACATGTGATGTCCCAGTGCCGTCATCTGGAGGAACATACAGTATTCCTATACCAACTGTTTCGGCAACTGATCGGCAATGCCTTTCTCATTTATCGAAATCAGGCCAATATAATTTACAGGTGCATGAGTGAGTGAGTGAGTCATTGCAGTTAATATAGCATGTTGGATACGATGCTGAGAGCGGGTGGGTGGGTGGGTGTTCAAGTGAATGGATGAGTAAGTGAGGGAAAGGTGTTTCCTTCTGAAAGTCATTCCACGCTACAAACAGTAGGAACAAGTCTCTGACCTCAGCCCCCCTGATCCTGCAGTGGCGCCACGAACAGGGCACTATATATATTCCGACTCTCACACGAAATCAAAATTTACTATATTTGAACCGCTTTTCAAAGTTCCGACCTTGGGATTATTAGATGAACGATAATCTTAATGGCCGACAGTGAGTGATGTTATCACCATGTTCGTGGCGTATATCCACCAGAGTGATCAGCCCTGTACGAGGGTGAGGCGTATGTGATCTTCAAAGCCACGCTGTGACTGTTGTTACCCTCAGATACAACCCTCGAGACGTTGTCCCCAGCACATGTTTATTACATTCCAAGTTGGCTATGAATGTGACCAGGAAGCCATTCGTTCGAGAGAGCGGACTTGTCTTAACATGCGCTTAAATAATTGTAGCGCTAAGACCGCTTTGTAGAATGAGTCGCTTCCTGGTTCTGATCTCAGCTATACTTAACATACACTTAAAATATCTCCCTGAGATCGCTTTGTAGAACGGGTCGCTTCCCTGTTCCGACCTCAGCTATACTTAACATACACTTAAAATATCTCACTGAGGTCGCTATGTAGAGCGGATCGCTTCCCCGTTCTGACCTCAGCTATACGTAACATACACTTAAAATATCTCACTGAGGTCGCTATGTAGAGCGGATCGCTTCCCCGTTCTGACCTCAGCTATACGTAACATACACTTAAATATCTCACTGAGGTCGCTATGTAGAACGGGTCTCTTCCTGGTGCTGACCTCAGCAATACTTAACATACACTTAAAATATCTCACTGGGGTCGCTATGTAGAACGGGTCGCTTCCCTGTTCTGACCTCAGCTATACTTAACATACACTTAAAATATCTCACTGAGGTCGCTTTGTAGAACGGATCGCTTCCCTGTTCTGACCTCAGCTATACTTAACATGAACTTAAAATATCTCACTGAGGTCGCTATGAAGAACGGATCGCTTCCCTGTTCTGACCTCAGCTATACTTAACATACACTTAAAATATCTCACTGAGATCGCTGTTTAGAACGGATCGGTTCCCTGTTCTGACCTCAGCTATACTTAACATACACTTAAAATATCTCACTGAGGTCGCTATGTAGAACGGATCGCTTCCCTGGTCTGACCTCTGCTATACTTAACATACACTTAAAATATCTCCCTGAGGTCGCTATGCAGAACGGATCGCTTCCCTGGTCTGACCTCAGCTATACTTAACATACACTTGAAATATCTCACTGAGATCGCTATGTAGAACGGGTCGCTTCCCTGTTCTGACCTCAGCTATACTTAACATACACTTAAAATATCTCACTGAGATCGCTTTGTAGAACGGGTCGCTTCCCTGTTCTGTCCTTTGGGCGCGCCCGGTTCGCCCCGATTATGTTTCTATGTTTGTCAGCACCATACCCATGCTTGTGGGTTTCACCAAAGTGGTATACGTTTAAGACCTGCATCACTTCGGGCTTTCCTCCCACATGAAGCTGACACGCCGTGAATACTGCGTTAAACCCAACTAACTCACTACTAACACGAAACAGAGATAACAGTAGCGAGTCATTACGTGCCGAAAACACATCCGGGTATGTACGGGTACGTCATATATGCCATGCACATGGCTGTTTCTTTATTTATTACAATGGGTATACATTGTATTTCCACCCGATCGTTTGACCCCCTGGCTCATCCCGAGAGATAGCGGAACTCAGAAATCTCAGTGTTGTCGTCTTTCTGAGAAGAGACGGACATGACTCACGGGGTGCCGTGGTATCACAGACGTGCATACACGAATCACACTGCAGCAGCCACGCCCCGGTTAATTGAAGTCAGTCAGAAAAAGCATGCGTACAGTGGCGAAGCTACCACGTAGCACAAAAAGCAAGTGCTTACACGTTGAAATCGTTACAAAAATACAATAAAATAAATAACTTTATAAAAAGTACTTTAGTGTGTTCTTCTTTCAGTCGTTTGTTAAAAGATACATGATCTTTTGTAATTTACAGGTTGACCCGCCAGTCAGTGTCAACATATCGCTGATGAGTTGGTTCCATGTTGTTGTTGGCATGTTACAAGTCCTTCACCCATTTTGAGAACACCTGGTGTCCTGACAGCGGTCAGTTGCCTATTCATTTAATGTTCACATCTATTTTGCCCTTTACGGCAATTAGAATCTGTTTCGGGGCATAATCTAAATTGTTATTCTCTTGCATTGACAGTTTATATTTTATGAGGATATCTGGGTTCGATCACAATAATCAAACTGTTTCATACTTAAGTTGTGTTATATACAGAATGTGGTAAGGATATTTCGTGATATCTCTGTGTTAGATATGTTGCTTTGGCCTGTTTGTGTTTGTGTTTGGCAGCGTTACGAGTGTTTAAGAAAAATAAGTACTACAATATGATTGCTTACATTTTAATTTCCCCTGGCTTACAAATATATCAAATGGTGTATATAAAGATATATATTCTTTGCAATACTTTTATATAGCCTGCGTCCATCCAGGTGCCTTCGTGGCGGACCATCCACGTCATTCTGAAGGTCCATCGTCTTGTCCGATATATGGATGACATGTGCTGCACGAGGTATAAGTGTCAAACGGCCCATAAACAAACGTTTCATTTAATGCCGACCTTTCGGGCCTTGCCGTTCAATAAATCAATAAATCAGCGACATATGGATCAGTGATCAATAGAGATGATATTGGTGTTGATATGTCCTAGGGTGAAGAGACGCACGTCAATCAGCGACCTCAATATGTGTGAGAAAGCGTGTAGGTTTGCAGACCTGGGTGGGACGGCGGGTCCGTGGAGTCTTTATACCACATACAGATACATTCGAAGAACCTCGCATTCCATTGAAATCATGAACCAGATACAATGAAAGAAACGTGGACAGATGGCGCTGGTGCGGGACAGTTAAGTGAACATCTCACACGTGGCCACGTACTGGAGGCTCGTCTAGTGGTGCTGATCACCATGCACAGGTGCCCCTAGCACGTGCCCCGGGGCACCGACATGGGAGTTACTATCGCTGTCGTCACACGGCAATAACACTGGTCTTCATTACTTATTAAAGACTATTGAAACGTCTCCTCTTACGCAACCCCCCCCCCCCCCCTCCAGCGGATGGTGTTCCATTGACCTGAATGGTTAAATACCTATCAGCTATACCCGGTATGTCTGCCGTGTTTTCTAAGACTTTGTGAGTACACGGTGGAGGGTTATTCCTGCTCTGTAAGTCAATTCTTGTCACCTACAAGTATGCTGCAATGTTTTACCCTGCATGAGAGTGAAGGGATTCCGTACATTACCAGAAGGTCTAGACGCAGAACCAACACAGTCGGCCTCAAGGCGACATGGCAATGAGACCAATGAGGACCCGGAACACTACCACAGCATCAATATAAAGTCAAACGTCGGTGAACTAGATGAAACAGCTTTTATGGAACTGTACGAACAGTTATAACCTCTATGATATAACGAACAGTTATAACCTCTATGATATAATTGAAACATTTTAAATTAAGATTAACTGTATAAACAGTTTGCAAATGATCTACGCGAATCACTTATTATACTTCGGTGCATTATACAAAACTGTCGAACGTCAGTGGATTATAGAAAACAGGAACACAGTCAAGGCGTCATACGAATCAGTTTTAACGTCAATAAATTATACGACACAGGTGTGAAGTCAAGGCGTCATTCGAATCAGATTTAACGTCAAAGAATTATACGAAATAGGTTTAACGTCAATTAATTAAACACAACAAGTTTAACGCCATTACCTATACGAAACAGTTTTAACGACGCAGAACCATACAAACCTGTTTTGACGTAAATGAATTAATCACCTGTTTTAACTTCGACCGATAATATGAAATAATACGAAACGATGAATTATACAAAACGTCAATTAACTAAACGAATCAATGTCAATGAATTATATAAATAAATTCTAACGCAAACGATCTGTTCGAATCAGACAATACATAAAAACAAACAAACAACACACATCTCGAAATAATAATCTCAAAAAATTTATAATATCTGAAAAAAACAGCGTAAAGATCTCAAAGTAAAATCCCCTGAAAATGAAAACGTACTTTTAGTAAAAGACCAACCCAAGAACAAGGTGTCCTCGCATAGTGGCAATTGTTAGCTCACCTTATCACTGATGGGGTCGAGGAAGGTAGCGATTCCGGCCCTCACTCTATTACGGTATCCTCTGACGGTGCCCCGGGGGCTGACGATCTGGCGCTCTTGGAGGGTGGAAGGATCACGCACATTCCTCCTCCCGGCGAAAATCGGATCCGATTCCAATTTTCTCCCATTTGTCAACCTAAACTCCCCATCATTTAGTCTTCTTTCTATGGCGGACGCGGCTTTACCCATTATCTCCGAGTGGAACTGTGGTGGTCGATGTTGCTCTAACCCCCGGGGCCCTACACTTGGGGGGTGGGGCTCCACCCCGTTACACATCTCAAGCGGCCCGCGCATGGCTTGCTCGGACTGTTGGTTAAGCACTCGGGACATCGCCCATTAACGCACGCCGTAAAACAGAGATTATCCTATTCCAAGAGAATTATCAATGATTCATGGCACCTCACCAAACTGCTACTACATCCGACACAATCGTTCCCCTTGTCTCTGGCGGTGTGTCGACGACGACGTGATTGTCTCTGTCACACAGCTCGCACCGGTGTCACGGTTAGACTAACGGACACCCAGCTGTTGAGAGGGGCGTGGTCTGCCCGACTGTCAGACTCTCCCAACCTTTCACTCACAACACACATTCAACTCACGAGCCACGAGTCTACCTGGGTCACGTGACTGACGTCATGAAAACAAGCAGTGTTTCGCCGTGTAGGGAGTATCTATCACGAGGTGCGAAACAAACGCTCACCTATCGATTTTACCGGCGACGTTGCTCAAATACCCCCGGAGCCACAATCGCACTTTTTTCTTTATTTGCGCGTTCTCTACAGCAAACCTGGGGACGAAATGTGCGACCTGTCTGAATTCCTCCGTGTTTTTGAAGACAATATAACCAGCCAGCCATAGACCCGCGCTCCAGACATTGCCAACTCTAAACCGTTACATCCTCTAAATCAACTCCGAGCCCCACTGCAATCGGAGTAATTCGGATTTCTTTTGTTGTTCGTGTTGTGGGCAATTTTTTTAGTTAATACTTCAAAGGTGATGTTTCTGCTTCAATTTGTTGTACTATCAGAGCGCCAGGTCTCGGCCATATTGATGGCGCAACAATCCACGGACAATACATTATATTTAAGTCGCCGGTTGCTGTCTCCGTGACGTGTTTTATCACCGCCCAGACTCGTGGGACAGTAGCTCGCATTGCAGATACAGTTGTTATACCTGGAGGCGGTAGATCAAAGGAAGCCATGTGCTATTATGAACAGGTAAACGCCAGGTAAACGCCAGGTTAAACGTCAGTGAAAGGGATGGTTACGTCCGCTTCAGGCAGTTAAACATAACATCTCATTTATAAATTTTATAACTGTGTCTTTTGATATTCCGTGTTTTTCTCAATCTCATTAAAATCAGACCTTAGTTCTCGCTACCGCTTAACAAAGATCTGAAGACATCCCATTAGGGGGTCACGTCAGAACGACCTTTCATCCGAGAAATCAGAGCGTCGCTTACCAGATCATGAAAGTGACAGTCGGAATGTGATTTCTAATCATACAACCTCGAAAACATTAACATTAACACATGATCTACATAGATATAGATCAGTAAACCCATCTTGATGAAGCTTGGTCAAACTGACCAATGACTACACTGCTTGCAACTCAACCAAATCATCAGTCGTAACGATAGTTACGGGTTTAACGACTGAATCCATACAATCTAGACCATCTATTAGCCATTCCAGAATGTTCTTTTGTTCAGGTTTCAAATTTGTAATCGAGAATTTGTCAAAATATGTTTCGAAGCGCAGTCGCCAATTTGAAATTGGTGCCGTAAAGCACGAGAAAGCTGCCTTCTGATTGGTCATTCCATTGGTCGGTCAAAGTTCGCGCAAGGTCGGTCTGACGTGACCCGTAATGGGATGTCCTCAGATCTTTGTTAAGCGGTAGCGACAACTAAGATCTGATTTTAATGAGATTGTGTTTTTCTGTGTTATACATTCAGAAACGAGGGTGATGGCCGATTCTTTGTGATACACATACAACGGTTCTATATAAAAATACCTCTCACGGTGCTATACATATCTACACGACCACTGCTCACACTAAAAAACAACAAATGTAATCATTTGTCTTAAAAAATATGTCCTTAACAACAAACATTAAGTCTTTGAAAGGCATTTAGAAATGATACCAATAAGAGGGGGAGAAATGGATGTTAACTTCTTTATTATGAGGAGAGAGTAAGTGAGTGACTTAACATTTAACGTCGCATCGGCATTATGTCAGTCATGTAGCTACGAGAACAAGCCGAACTATACGCAATTTAGTCATGAATACAAAGTTTGCAAGACGCGGCGTCAAACACTACTCACTCACAACTGAGAATCACGTGATACGCAATGTTCGTAGAAGGCAGGTGCGTGGATGTTGTTTGACCTTATAACAGCGACTGACCCGTGATTCAAAGCACAACGGTAACTAAAAAATACTTCGAACAAACACCGTCACCTCTGAGACCTGCAAAAAAACAAAACAACTTCCAAATATAAACATCGTGTTTATAGGAAGCGTTGGATAACAACAACTATAAATTGTTTTATTTAAAGCAGAGGTAAATTTAGTAATCCATATGCAAATATACCTGCACAGATTTGGTTTCTAGAGGAAGTAATTTCTCTGAATGCGACAAGGTTTAAATGTATCAAAACAAAGAGTCGGGACTATGGGCTGTTGTTGGCCTGTTCAGCCCCTGGGGATATCCGTTATTAATCCCGTCCCCCCGGCACAAGTGGAACATCTTAAGGCAACAATGTTTTGATGTTAGAACAACGCTTTTCACGTAGGCTTCACCAGTGCCCCTCCCGACGCCTCGGGGAGGGGACATGTAGAATATTCCCCATCGGCGTGTTTGGGGGACAATGGCAACTGGTGTACAATTGTGAGTGTCTTTTAAGTTTGTCTGTGGTGATGTTTTCACAAAAGACTTTATAGCGGATGAAGGTACTGCCTAACGTGAAACTTGGTGAAAAGAATAAAGTGGGAAACAATGACTGGACTGGTTATTTGTCTTGTCCGCGTATCTCCAACTCTTGTTACATAATAACAGCCTTTGATGAGAAGTCTTAGACACACCGTGTGATAGTCTAGTGGTGGTTAAACCTTTCATTCGTCGCAGTGACAACAACCAGCGTTTCGTTGTCCTCGTGGTTACAATGAGTGAAGCCTATGTCGTACTCACTCACTCACTCACTCGACCCGTGAAGATCCGGGTAGAGAATAGGACTCCAGCAACCCATGCTTGCTGTTACAGGCGACTGTGCTTGTCGTAAGAGGTGACTAACGGGATCGGGCGGTGAGGCTCGCTGACTTGGTTGATGCATATCATCGTATTCCAATTGTGTAGACAGATGCTCAAGACGTCAATCACGGGATTGCCTGGTCCAGGCTCGATTCTCTACAGACCGCGGTCATATAGCTGGAATATTGCTGAGTGCGGCGTTAAACAACAACACTCACACACACACACACACTCAAGTCGATGGTGATGACTACAGAATCTGTCTGTTTGTAGAAGTTGACTAACTGAAACTGTCACTTGAAAGTGCATGGTAGATTCTCACGGGGGGGGGGGGGGGGGGGGGGTAAATACTGTTCCAGGAACACAAAGGAGGTTATTAAAACCATTTTGCCTCAACGGTGACTCACACAATCACTGACTACACGAACACGGAACAATTAGTTGTGACAGAATCGCCATCGTTGGAGGCGTGATAATATCAAACAAGGATAAAGATATATGGATGGACAACTTCTTCTTTACAATTAGGAGCGACGTTTCGGTGTAGGCTCTAACGCCGTTATCAAGCCAGTGTCTTATCCTTACTTAGTACTCCAACTTCTAAATGCCTTTCAAAGAAAAGTGATAATATCGTTTAAAGCGCCAGTAAAATATTACGGTCAATCCCACGTGCGTGGATCTTAACCGCAACCGTTAGACACCAGCGGAGCACGTTTCGCCGACAGTGAGTGCACTTGCTCTTAAACCTTTCACACATGGTAACAGACACAATGTCGGGGGTATAACTATCGAATTTACCTTCACCTTGTGCGAGTTCATTGGAGTATGAATACCGTCTCGTGAAAAACCTACGAACTTCGTTCCTACACTTATGAAAGTCAGTCATTTCGCGGTCATGCGATCAGCCTCTCTCGTGCAATAGAAAAGCCGTATATCGTGCAAATGTCGCTTTGAAAAAAAAATAGTATTGGTTGTCGTGTTATTTTACGGAAAATCTCTGAAGAATAAATTAGTGAGGCTACACTGCAAACATTGCTTGTGGGTACCTGTTGAGTGAAACAGCTATTTCACGCACATACCGACAAATCCCCTGCATGTCAAAACAGGGTTTAAACGTAATTTCCGACCATTATGTATGAGGGATCGGCCACGTGACCCCTTTTGGAAACCATGTGCTATAGATGTATGTAAATCTCTTGGGAATGTGCATTCGACAGTATCACTAAAATGCATCAAAACCACCAAAATAATGATGTTAGATGCCAGTAAAATCAAAATATTCGGAGATATTTACTGTCTATCAGTAACCCTTATACTTCAAGACCAATGTCGATCACCCCCTCGCAGTACGGTATCTGCGGAAGGAGCATATCCTGGGCAGTCATCTCAACACCGACAAAGAAAGACCAGGGAGGTGGAAATAGGACAAAGAGTAAAAGATATAAAGTCCAAGCGCATACAATTGAGCCAACGAAAGTTTGTGCAACGTTCACCTTCTGCCAGCTTACCGAGTTAATTCCCAAAGGTTGTTCCACGCCACAATTACTTGTAGGGGCTGTCGGGTAGCCAAGTGGTTAAAACGTTCGCTCGTCACGCCGAAGACCCGGGTTCTATTCCCGATATAATGTGTGAAGCCCATTTCTGGTGTCCCCCGCCATGATATTGCTGGAATATTGCTAAATGCGGCGTAAAACTATACTCACTCACAATCACTTGTACTGTGTAGTCGCTTTACATTCTTTGTGTATTTCGGAAGGTTTGGGTGTACAAAGGTCGCCCTTTGTCCTAAAAAAAGAAAAAGCACAAGAAATAATCCACCTATCAGACAAACGGCGTGTTAATGATGCCATCAATTTGGAGGACGTCCCGCAATAAGGAGGTATGTTCCGATTGTATCTATCGGCTGTTTCCGGTACGGTACAGCATGCTTGCACCGCACACACCAGTTCCTGTCGCTGGCTGTATTAGTGGATTGGTTTTGGATTTGCAATATGCGGGTACTGCCTTGGCCAGCTAACGTTGCTGACCCACTGGACACGGGTGAACAACTTACATGCCGCTCAATAACATTGACACGACTTTATATGGAGCATGGTTACTTGTTTCCGTTTTTATAATAATCATGCACCACATCACATCCTTCACCCAGGTCCTGATGATTGACTGATGCAATTCACACAATCTCTTAATTTTAGGTTTTGGTTTCTTTATTGTTTAATACCGCACTCTGAAATATTCAAGCTATACGACGGCGGTCTGTAAATAATTGAGTGATTGAATCCATGACTATCGATCTACACATTAGGGAAACGACGATATGCATCAACCAAGGCAGCGAGTCTGACCACCCAATCCCGTTTGTCGCCTCTTACGACAATCATGAGTTGCTGAAGACAAATTTTAACCCGGTTTTTCACGGGGTTCTTACTTTTCTCGCCGCAAGTATGTAATAATGGTGTTTTGTGTAAATAAAACTGTTCATTTCATGTCACGTGCCTTCTACTGATGTTTAATTCATTTTTAACTCGAGTCCGTGAAACAGAACACCGGAAATGCTTCCGTCTCCTAGCAACGATACCTAATGTCACCTTTTGTTCACGGCAAGTCTGCAGCGCTGGAAGCCAACTGGAGTTGGCCGGAGCTCGATGACGTCTTCATACTGAAGGGATTCTCTACATGAAAAACATGCCATCCTTAATTTCTTTGGAATGTTGTTCCTATCGAAGCTATTACCTGAAGATATAATGTAATTAGTGACTGGTGTGAAAGTGATGCATCGTCCCTGTGTTCATCTTCCCGAGGCAAGGGAGTTAATTGACTGTAAAAGTCCAGTATCCATCCTTGCCGAACTAGGCTGGAAGTTTACAGTAAGTTAACTCCCTTGCTTTGGGAAGATGCTCTGTGATTTTAAGCTGGATTCAACTGTATCATAACACGGATGTTAGAACACTAACAAAAAAGGTTCTCAAGAGGCTCCTAGAAGATGGCCAACTGAACCGGACTTGGGGCATTAGTTTTGTTTGTTTGTTTGTTGTTGTTTAAAGCCACAATCAGCAATATCCCAGCTATATGATGGCAGTCCGTAAATAATCAAATCTGGACCAAACAATCCAGTGATTGATGATACGATGGCATGCATCTACAAAGTCAATGAGCCTGACCACCTGATCCTGTCAGTCGCATCTTCCGACAAGCAGTTTGCTCTGTGGTAAAAGGAAACATAAATCCCTAAGCAGAGTTGCACCCCTTAGGCATGTCAGGATCCAATAATTGTATGTTCGAATCTAAGATTCTCCCTGATTATGACTGCTCTTTTCAGCACATCTGTGCTTGTGGGTTTGCATGACTTCGGGCTTTTGTCTAACATCAAGTCTAACAGGTCATGATATAAGGCTATGAAAGAGGGCTCCAAAGGTGTGAGAGACCCAACTCACTCACTCACAAACGTGAACTGGCGCAGAGTTGTAGAACCATCCTCATCGGGCGTCATTCCACAGCATGGTTGTCTGTGGTGAGGTACTTGATGGTAGTCAGAGTGCTAAGATATGACAAACGAGAGGCAAATTTTACATTTCTCTTTATTCCAATCACAGTCGTCAGTCTTACCCAGTCACACAGTTTTAACAAAGCCACACTGCCTCATGGTTAGAGAAAATACAGCTTACAGCACAATATCTATATTTATGATAATAGATAAAATAACATCTTATACCACAGAATATATGTTTGGCCAAACAAGTCCATAACAGCATTATTATACATAATAATCAATATATTTGGTTATGAGATAAATATTTATTAAAAAGACACAATGGTATGGGATTATCTGCAGATAGCATTGCAAAGCTTGCTTTACTAAGTTCACAAGGACTTGGAGTACAGGTGTCTCTGCTGATACAATAACACATGGTAGAGTGAGTGACTCCTGTAGCACAGCTTTGAACAATATTTCAGTTATTTGTGTCTGCTTGATAGGGGAGGAAAATCTCCGCCTGTGGAAAACCTCACGAGCACAGGCATGGTGCTGACAAACCTTGAAACACAATGAGGGCAAAACCGTGACCCGAACCCACGATCATAGGTTCTGGCAACTTTGACGACTGGGCCACAAATGCCCCCAAATATGACTTGGGCCCCCGTTCCACAAAGTGATCATAGAGCTACAATGGTCGTAAACCTAGGTTAAGGTATGGAACCATAATGGGAGTTACGATCACCTTAGTGCTAAGATGTAAAGTATCAGTCTCGGAACAGAGTTGTATTTGGTACAAAGACACAGCGATGCTTCAAGCCCTTATGAATAAGCCCAGTCAATGTCCTGGGCATCAGACCACTACACCAATCAAGGGGAAGATAACTGTAAACTTTGGTATTTGAAACATTTTCAAGTTGTTTTGAAAAGTCTGAAAGGCACACAAATTATCTGGAAGCTCAATACAAATGAGTTTGCCAATTGCACGCACATGCGAGATAGGGGTTGGTTTGGGTTTCTTTTAGGGCACAAGTTGGTGTGATGGATGTGGTGGTGGTTGTTGTTGTTGTTGTGGTGGTGGTGGTGTGTGTAGGATGTGGTGGTGGTTGTTGTTGTTGTGGTGGTGGTGGTGTGTGTAGGATGTGGTGGTGGTTGTTGTTGTGGTGGTGTGGTGGTGGTGTGATGGATGTGGTCGTGGTTGTTCTTGTGGTGGTGGTGTGATGGATGTGGTGCTGGTGTGTAGGTGTGATGGATGTGGTTGTGGTGGTGTGTGTAGGTGTGATGGATGTGGTGGTGGTGTGTGTAGGTGTGATGGATGTGGTTGTGGTGGTGTGTGGGTGTGATGGATGTGGTTGTGGTGGTGGTGCTGTGTGTAGGTGTGATGGATGTGGTTGTAGTGTGTGTAGGTGTGATGGATGTGGTAGTGGTTATGGTGGTGTGTGGGGGTGGATGTGGTTGTTGTGGTGGTGTGATGGATGTGGTTGTTCTGGTGTGATGGATGTGGTTGTGGTGTGGTGGTTGTGGTTATGGATAGGGTTGTGGTTATAGGTGTGGGTTATAGGTGTATGTGTGGGTGTGGGTGTGGGTGTGGATGTGGTTGTTGTGGTGGTGTGATGGATGTGGTTGTTCTGGTGTGGTGGGTGTGATGGATGTGGTTGTGGTGTGATGGATGTGGTTGTGGTTATGGGTAGGGTTGTAGTTATAGATGTGGGTGTGGGTGTGGGTGTGGGTGTGGGTGTGGGTGGGTATTGGTGAATGTGGTGGCGGAAGAACAAGCATTTATTGCATTCAACTATTAACACTAACACTGAAAAAACCCACAACGTAATCCTGGGATTGTCAGACCCAAAATATTACTTCATGAAAATCAAAATGCCATTGACTGTTCCCAAGGGCTGTGTCAACAAGACAGCCTTTTCGTAGTCTGCGGGCAATATCAAATTTAAAAAAATAATTCTTGCTACAATGGGCACCTGTCGGAATGATCATCAAGACAGCAGAAGTTCACAAGGCTCCCTCCCTGTGTCCAGAGGAACAGGATTACATTGTACATCATTCCATAAACAGCTGCCGACAAAAAGCCAAAATAAGAAATGTTTGACAAATTAACACATATGAGGTATGTCAGATGACATGGCACATAGAGTCACCGAGAAGCCCCATGCCATTCAGGACAAAATGTCAGGCTACGAGACAGAGTTGTGATGGATATTGGCCTCAGAGACCGAAAGAGACATCGCTCGGTAACCTGTGTCATACGTGATACATTATCATTCCCTGATATAGTGTGAGAGAAAGATGTCGTAAGGAAATAAAAAATATACAGTCATCATTACTGACATCATCATCCATTATCATGCAGGTACATAGTGTCACTGAGAATTTCAGGTTGGATAACGCTACAAAAATCACTGCTAATAAAAGACTGATTGCGTTCTTGTGATTGGTTACTATGTGGTGAAAGAAGTGCAACGCTATATTACAGCCCAATACACAGGTATAGCACTACGCTACTGCAGAGTGCAAGCATCACGACAGATTGATGGCCCCCCTGGACAACACCCATATTAAGCTGATTATCACACACTTACATATATACATGTCATCGGAATGAGTGGACAGATAGTGTAAACAAGTCAAATAATCACTGCACGGGTTGTCCCATCAAATCGGCACCATTCACAAGTAATCAAAAACAATGAAATGAAACAAATGGAATGACAATGATCAAGAAGCCGAAGTTGCTTCCCATAATTTTGGTGTTGGTTATGTGACATACAAGGGGCGTAACTGTAGTGTTAACACACGACGTCACATCATCACCAAACTTCGCTCTGACACTACAGCATTATACAGGTCTGTGCCATTACGTGTTGACCCACGCCTACTTCATGCTTGATGTCAACACTGATATAAATGGATCACAGTGTCAAGAGGTCAAGGTCAAATGGCACCAGTCATAGTGGATTCTCCCAGACTGTAGACTATGCCTATGCATAGCTTCTCTTGTAGCTTTGAGTGTCATTTATATGTCATACCAAATCTGATGATAATTACCGGGTATAAGAAATTCGGTATATTGCTTCGCGTGTGTCGATGCATACCAAGTTCAATGACATCTAGAGGTTACTAGGAAACCCTTTCACCATGTCATCAAACAGATGTGCATTATAAAATATGGACATCTGGAAATCTTAATATTTTCTTGAGAATGTATGCCAAACAAATAAAACTACTGCATGAAAAATGAAAATATCACAAAAGTTATTCTAATATATGCTGATTACTTGAATATTGGTATGCTTTTCAAAGCCGATGACCTTTCATTCAACTAAATATGCGATAAGCAATGGCAAGATAAGATTTTTGCAAAAAACATTCTGAACTCGAGAAAAAACAGCAACACAAACCAAAAGCAAGCATTGAAGTCCCAAGCTTCCTACTTCAAACAGTTTCCGATCTAAAACACCAGCCATATCTTTTAATGACTAAACTCAAGCCTTGGAGATAAGCAGAGGTCATATTAGGATATTTCGAAAAGCTGCAGTCGGCGAAGACAGTGCTGTTATTATACATTATACATTATACATTATAAATGACAGACGTCCTGTCTCATTGGTACCTGTAAACAAGTCACCATTATGCTTAATGATTGGTGTTGTCATTTAAAAATGAAATACCTGATCACATCACCACATTATGACACTCAGTAGAACTTGAACACCATGGACATTCCCTGACATCCATTTTCAGACAAGTTGATCCGACAAGGAAATAAATTAGGAAACAAAAAACACACTAGTGTTACATGGCCAAGTCTGTCAATGTATGCATATACATGAATATTTCAAATATTATATCCACATACTCAATGTCAGCACTCCCAAAGCGATAACAAAGTTGTAGGTAGCACTGAATATCCCCTGTTCAAGATGTACTCCCTAGTAGTGAAACTGTTTAATGCGAAAATATTTTATTGCATCAGAAATAAATTTTCTTTGTTTTGCAAAATACCTCTTCAATTCTTGATGAGGATAATAACAAAGCAGACACAACATGAGGGTATATGTTGGCACCCCCAACACAATACCCCACTGCATGTGTCCATGGAGGGCTTTGAACACACCTGTAGTGTGCCACATAGAACACGACCTGAGCCCCCAAACATTCCTATGTCATGATGCAGTCTTCTTTCTCTTATCACAATGTAGTTCTCAAGAATCCTCCAGCACAGACAATAGGGGGAAAACAGTGCCACAATCAGTTCCGGTTCACGTCATGTGATCAGTTCCTGTGTCAGAGATGCAGTAGGTATTTCACCTGGAACGGGAACACCACAATAAACATTCACGTACATTAGTTTTGATTGTTATACCCATGACAATCAGTGCTTCAACATATCGTTAAAATCTTCAATACATGATATACTTCAAATTATAAACAGTAACTTTCAGAATGGATATATATCAAATTTTCAAGGTATTTTGTTTCATGCCGAGAAAAACGTGTGGAATACAATTTGTACATATTGTACGTAAATGTTTGTATATAAGTATACTGCATACAAGTTGTATATAAATGTTGTATAAATGTGTGGAATAAATGTATCTGCACAGCATATGTTAGAGTGGGATACAAGTCATTCTTACATTTTTTATGTAAGCATGGGACATAAGTTGTACTTACTTATTGTATGCAAGTGTGGGATAAGAAGAGGTATTTACGTATTGCATGTTTAATAGCTTGGTATGGCTTGGGATAGAAGTCTGTCATACTTACATGTCTTGTATACAGGCATGGGATAGAAGTTGTACTTACTTATTGTATGTAAGTGTGTGGCTTACGTATCGTATGCAGGCGTGGTATACAATTTGTACTTGCCGGTACATATTGTATGTGTCAAAGTCGTACTTACATAGTGTATATAGGAGTGGGACACAAGCCACACTTTCATAGTGTATGTAAACGTGGGTTACAAGTTGTACTTACGTATTGTATATAGGCGTGGGACACAAGCCATACTTACATAGTGTATGTAAACGTAGGTGACAAGTTGTACTTACGTATTGTATATAGGCGTGGGACACAAGTCATACTTATATAGTGTATGTAGGCGTGGGATACAAGTCGTACTTATGTATTGTATATAGGCGTGGGACACAAGCCATACTTTCATAGTGTATGTAAACATAGGTTACAAGTTGTACTTACGTATTGTATATAGGCGTGGGACACAAGCCATACTTTCATAGTGTATGTAAACATAGGTTACAAGTTGTACTTATGTATTGTATATAGGCGTGGGACACAAGTCATACTTTCATAGTGTATGTAAACATAGGTTACAAGTTGTACTTACGTATTGTATATAGGCGTGGGACACAAGTCATACTTTCATAGTGTATGTAAACATAGGTTACAAGTCGTACTTATGTATTGTATATAGGCGTGGGACACAAGCCATACTTTCATAGTGTATGTAAACATAGGTTACAAGTTGTACTTACGTATTGTATATAGGCGTGGGACACAAGTCATACTTACATAGTGTATGTAAACGTAGGTGACAAGTTGTACTTACGTATTGTATATAGGCGTGGGACACAAGTCATACTTTCATAGTGTATGTAAACATAGGTTACAAGTTGTACTTATGTATTGTATATAGGCGTGGGACACAAGCCATACTTTCATAGTGTATGTAAACATAGGTTACAAGTTGTACTTACGTATTGTATATAGGCGTGGGACACAAGTCATACTTACATAGTGTATGTAAACATAGGTTACAAGTTGTACTTACGTATTGTATATAGGCGTGGGACACAAGTCATACTTTCATAGTGTATGTAAACATAGGTTACAAGTTGTACTTACATAGTGTATGTAAACATAGGTTACAAGTTGTACTTACGTATTGTATATAGGAGTGGGACACAAGTCATACTTATATAGTGTATGTAAACATAGGTTACAAGTTGTACTTACGTATTGTATATAGGCGTGGGACACAAGTCATACTTTCATAGTGTATGTAAACATAGGTTACAAGTTGTACTTACGTATTGTATATAGGCGTGGGACACAAGTCATACTTTCATAGTGTATGTAAGCGTGGGATACAAGTCGTACTTACGTATTGTATATAGGTGTGGGACACAAGTCATACTTACATAGTGTATGTAAACATAGGTTACAAGTTGTACTTACGTATTGTATATAGGCGTGGGACACAAGTCATACTTTCATAGTGTATGTAAGCGTGGGATACAAGTCGTACTTACGTATTGTATATAGGCGTGGGACACAAGTCATACTTACATAGTGTATGTAAACATAGGTTACAAGTTGTACTTACGTATTGTATATAGGCGTGGGACACAAGTCATACTTTCATAGTGTATGTAAGCGTGGGATACAAGTAATACTTACGTATTGTATATAGGCGTGGGACACAAGTCATACTTTCATAGTGTATGTAGGCGTGGGATACAAGTTGTACTTACGTATTGTATATAGGCGTGGGACACAAGTCATACTTACATAGTGTATGTAGGCGTGGGATACAAGTTGTACTTACGTATTGTATATAGGCGTGGGACACAAGTCATACTTACATAGTGTATGTAAACATAGGTTACAAGTTGTACTTACGTATTGTATATAGGCGTGGGACACAAGTCATACTTACATAGTGTATGTAGGCGTGGGATACAAGTTGTACTTACGTATTGTATATAGGCGTGGGACACAAGTCATACTTACATAGTGTATGTAGGCGTGGGATACAAGTTGTACTTACGTATTGTATATAGGCGTGGGACACAAGTCATACTTACATAGTGTATGTAAACATAGGTTACAAGTTGTACTTACGTATTGTATATAGGCGTGGGACACAAGTCATACTTACATAGTGTATGTAGGCGTGGGATACAAGTTGTACTTACGTATTGTATATAGGCGTGGGACACAAGTCATACTTACATAGTGTATGTAAACATAGGTTACAAGTTGTACTTACGTATTGTATATAGGCGTGGGACACAAGTCATACTTACATAGTGTATGTAGGCGTGGGATACAAGTTGTACTTACGTATTGTATATAGGCGTGGGACACAAGTCATACTTACATAGTGTATGTAAACATAGGTTACAAGTTGTACTTACGTATTGTATATAGGCGTGGGACACAAGTCATACTTACATAGTGTATGTAGGCGTGGGATACAAGTTGTACTTACGTATTGTATATAGGCGTGGGACACAAGTCATACTTACATAGTGTATGTAAACATAGGTTACAAGTTGTACTTACGTATTGTATATAGGCGTGGGACACAAGTCATACTTACATAGTGTATGTAGGCGTGGGATACAAGTTGTACTTACGTATTGTATATAGGCGTGGGACACAAGTCATACTTACATAGTGTATGTAAACATAGGTTACAAGTTGTACTTACGTATTGTATATAGGCGTGGGACACAAGTCATACTTACATAGTGTATGTAGGCGTGGGATACAAGTTGTACTTACGTATTGTATATAGGCGTGGGACACAAGTCATACTTACATAGTGTATGTAAACATAGGTTACAAGTTGTACTTACGTATTGTATATAGGCGTGGGACACAAGTCATACTTACATAGTGTATGTAGGCGTGGGATACAAGTTGTACTTACGTATTGTATATAGGCGTGGGACACAAGTCATACTTACATAGTGTATGTAAACGTGGGTTACAAGTTGTACTTACGTATTGTATATAGGCGTGGGACACAAGTCATACTTACATAGTGTATGTAAACGTGGGTTACAAGTTGTACTTACGTATTGTATATAGGCGTGGGACACAAGTCATACTTACATAGTGTATATAGGCGTGGGATACAAGTTGTACTTACGTATTGTATGTAGGCGTGGGATACAAGTTGTACTTACGTATTGTATATACCCGTAGGACGCCAGGGCTAAGGAGATGACGACTATATACCCAAGATACTGCACAAAATTGAGGAATTCCTGAAAGAAAATAACAACAATGTTAATACTCTATATACTATTCTACATTCAGCAGTTTACATACTAAATGATTGTGATATACACATGAGCAGCGTGAGACTGATCAGACACACAATCGGGCACTTATATTTACTGACATAAGGATGCACACAAAGCACATTAGAATCCAAGACAATACGTGACCGTGAGAAGTGACCTGGAGACAAGTAAAGATAATACGGAACGGCGTTGAACCCTTGTATGGGATAAACAACAGAGCTGGGATGGCTATTTTGAAAAACTAAGGAAAATGGCTGTGATTATATGTGACGTGTATGTACATGGTAAAGTAGGAGTAAAGTTATTGTGGTAACGTAATATTGATGCACTACATATCGAGAAATTTGGTGTGTGTGTGTGTGGTGGCAGTAGCTTGTCAGGACTTGATGTATTTGGTGTGTGAGTGTTATATGTGTATGTTTGTTTGTTAGTTGTTTAATGCCGCACTCAGCAATATTTCAGCTATATGACAGCGGTCTGTGTAAATAATCAAGGCTGGACCAGACAATCCAGTGATTGATATCATGAGCATCAATCCACGCAATTGGGATCGATGATGATCCCGTTAGTCGCCTCTTACGACAAGCATAGTCCCCTTTTATGATAAGTATGGGTTGCTGAAGATGTGTGTGTTGGGATATGTGTATGTGATATATTTGTGTATGAGTGTGATATGTGTATGTACGTGTGTGTGATATGTGTATGTGTGTGAAAAGTGTGTGTCTGTGTGATGCGTGTCTGTGTGATGCGTGTCTGTGTGTGATATGGGATGACTTCAACTTTATTCCTCCAGCCTTTGGTGTTTACTAGGGCTGTTACGATTCACTCGCGTATTCGGTGAATCGAAGCGTAACCTTTCATGAATTGAATTCGTTATTCATGGCCACTAGAATCGAATATTTATGAATATGCTATCATGTAAATTTACATACCCTGTACCTAAAAATATCCATAACAACATATTATATGCATAGATTTCTTTCAATGACAACACTCTGATAATATTTAATTTGATAGTATTGTTTTCACTGGTCATTGTCGCATTTGAGCAGATACTAGTACCTGGATAAGTGCAGTATATAAATGTATAATTTATTAATAATTAACAAACCATGTCAAACAAATTGTGATGTTTTTGTTACACTGAATATAATAAATAATACATAAACTGCTGACTTGTTATTGTAATTGTGAATTAATATTCGTATTCGTTACCCTATATTCGTGATATGAATCGTATTTGCCTCATAGTGTATTTGTTGCAGCCCTTGTGTTTACATTTCACAACTTTTGAAGCACAATCGAGCATGCTCTTTCTACAAAGATTTCAAAGAGTGTCATATGACTTATACTGAAAGAATGTTTGATTAGCCTGATTAGGGTTACAACATTCAAGGCCTTTTGTAAGGCTTTCAAAAAGTTTATGGGGACATTTCCAAATCTGACACATCAGTGACTAAAATTATGTCCAAAGCACCATATCTTCCTGTGTTTTTTCCGGTGATCAATTAACTTGCCTTTGCATGTATTTGTGATGGATGCCACCAGCTGGGCAAGATCACACTTCATATCATATTTGATTGTGATTCATAAACACATGCTCATGATACACCTGGAAATGTACAACTGACTTTGCTTTTAGCAGAGATTTCTCATCATGATGGAAGGGATTTTGTTGTATTTAGTTGTCCAACATAAATCATTAATTACTCAATCAGAACTAATGCTACTTTAAGTGAGGTCGATAACAGGTCTCCCCTCAAAGCATGCCGCAATTCCCAGTAAATGCAGCATTGATGAGAAGGACAAAATAAATAGCTGTCAAGCTGGAGATAACAAGACACACGTGACACTGGGGCCTGCTGAAACAAGTCGGTCAACAGGAGAGGAGACACGTCCCACTGATCACCCCATCATGGACTCTCTATGACCACACAGCTACTCTATCATGTCTATGGCTTGTTTGGGGGTAATTGAACATAAAATATATTAACACAATCCACAACAATGGTTATATGCACACACGACCTATTGTCCCTTCGCCACAAACAATATTTTAATTGTACAATTGCTGTAATGACATATTGGTGAGCAATGCGGACACTTGCACTGTTAAGTACCTGATACCTCAAGGGACAATAAACCTGTTTCCCCATTGAGGGTGCATATGGCTGTAACCAACGAACCAACGCAAATCAAATTACACCTGCCTTATAGTGAGGTGTGCCTCGCGTAATATTCACTGTCACAACAAACCACATCAGTAGCGTATCCAGGACACTATCTGCACACTTACTATCATAAGTTGGGGGGCACCGAATCTGTTGCATGGCATAACCCACATTACAACACTCTTTACAGGACACTCATCACAATCTCCCTGAATATCATAACACCCATGTAGTCATAAAAATGTAAATAGAAAAGTGACATGGTTAGTCAATGAAATGCAGTTTATTTGCTCCTCAGTACCATGCCATGTAGCCCCTGGTTTCCCTGCTACTGACACAACTCTGCAGGGACACCTCCGGGTTATAGGCGTGTTGTTTTACATGACGGAGGAGACAAGTGGGATGGGATATATATATTGACCCGTCTCCTGAGGTCCAGGCAGTAATATTACTAATAATGTAATGTCACATATATCCTCTTTGTAACATTTCCAATATATTTCCTCTTTGTAACATTCTATACCGTAATAATTCCAATATATCAATGCAATATTTTTCTAGTCTATTCGCATCACAGGCATAGTTGGCCTGCTGTTGCCCCGCCATTACCACACATTTAGTTGCCCTGTCACCATCAGCAACCTAATTACACCATCATTGTCCCTTTATAGCCCGCCACCCCCACAGGTCTAGTTGCCCCTTTATAGCCCGCCACCCCCACATGTCTAGTTGCCCCTTTATAGCCCGCCACCCCCACAGGTCTAGTTGTCCCTTTATAGCCCAGCCACCCCCACATGTCTAGTTGCCCCTTTATAGCCCGCCACCCCCACATGTCTAGTTGCCCCTTTATAGCCCGCCACCTCCACATGTCTAGTTGCCCCTTTATAGCCCCATCACCCTCACAGGTCTAGTTGCCCCTTTATAGCCCCGCCACCCCCACAGGTCCAGTTGCCCCTTTATAGCCCCGCCACCCCCACATGTCTAGTTGCCCCTTTATAGCCCCATCACCCTCACAGGTCTAGTTGCCCCTTTATAGCCCCGCCACCCCCACAGGTCCAGTTGCCCCTTTATAGCCCCGCCACCCCCACATGTCTAGTTGCCCCTTTATAGCCCTTCCACCTCCACATGTCTAGTTGCCCCTTTATAGCCCCGCCACCCCCACAGGTCCAGTTGCCCCTTTATAGCCCCGCCACCCCCACATGTCTAGTTGCCCCTTTATAGCCCACCACCCCCACATGTCTAGTTGCCCCTTTATAGCCCGCCACCTCCACATGTCTAGTTGCCCCTTTATAGCCCCATCACCCTCACAGGTCTAGTTGCCCCTTTATAGCCCCGCCACCCCCACAGGTCCAGTTGCCCCTTTATAGCCCCGCCACCCCCACATGTCTAGTTGCCCCTTTATAGCCCCGCCACCCCCACAGGTCCAGTTGTCCCTTTATAGCCCCGCCACCCCCACAGGTCCAGTTGCCCCTTTATAGCCCCGCCACCCCCACATGTCTAGTTGCCCCTTTATAGCCCACCACCCCCACATGTCTAGTTGCCCCTTTATAGCCCGCCACCTCCACATGTCTAGTTGCCCCTTTATAGCCCCATCACCCTCACAGGTCTAGTTGCCCCTTTATAGCCCCGCCACCCCCACAGGTCCAGTTGCCCCTTTATAGCCCCGCCACCCCCACATGTCTAGTTGCCCCTTTATAGCCCCGCCACCCCCACAGGTCCAGTTGTCCCTTTATAGCCCCGCCACCCCCACAGGTCCAGTTGCCCCTTTATACCCCCGCCACCCCCACAGGTCCAGTTGCCCCTTTATAGCCCGGCCACCTCCACATGTCTAGTTGTCCCTTTATAGCCCCGCCACCTCCACATGTCTAGTTGTCCCTTTATAGCCCCGCCACCGCCTGCGCCACCACCACAGGTCTAGTTGCCCCTTTATAGCCCTGTCACCCCCACAGGTCTAGTTGTCCCTTTATAGCCCCGCCACCTCCACATGTCTAGTTGTCCCTTTATAGCCCCGCCACCTCCACATGTCTAGTTGCCCCTTTATAGCCCCGCCACCTCCACATGTCTAGTTGTCCCTTTATAGCCCCGCCACTGCCAGCGCCACCTCCACAGGTCTAGTTGCCCCTTTATAGCCCCGCCACCCCCACAGGTCTAGTTGTCCCTTTATAGCCCCGCCACCTCCACATGTCTAGTTGTCCCTTTATAGCCCCGCCACCTCCTCATGTCTAGTTGTCCCTTTATAGCCCCGCCACCGCCAGCGCCACCTCCACAGGTCTAGTTGCCCCTTTATAGCCCCGCCACCTCCACATGTCTAGTTGTCCCTTTATAGCCCCACCACAGCCACCGCCACCTCCACAGGTCTAGTTGCCCCTTTATAGCCCCGCCACCTCCACATGTCTAGTTGTCCCTTTATAGCCCCACCACAGCCACCGCCACCTCCACAGGTCTAGTTGCCCCTTTATAGCCCCGCCACCTCCACATGTCTAGTTGTCCCTTTATAGCCCCACCACAGCCACCGCCACCTCCACAGGTCTAGTTGCCCCTTTATAGCCCCTCCACCTCCACAGGTCTAGTTGCCCCTTTATAGCCCCGCTACCCCCACAGGTTGAGTTGCCCCTTTATAGCCCCGCCACCTCCACAGGTTTAGTTGCCCCTTTATAGCCCCACCACCCCCACAGGTCCAGTTGCCCCTTTATAGCCCCCGCCACCCACACAGGTCCAGTTGCTCCTTTATAGCCCCGCTACCCCCACAGGTCCAGTTGCCCCTTTATAGCCCCGCTATCCCCACATGTTTAGTTGCCCCTTTATAGCCCCGCCACCTCCACATGTCTAGTTGCCCCTTTACAGCCCGGCTACCCCCACAGGTTTAGTTGCCCCTTTATAGCCCCGCCATCTCCACATGTCTAGTTGCCCCTTTTCGGCCCCGCTACCCCCACAGGTTTAGTTGCCCCTTTATAGCCCCGCCACCTCCACATGTCCAGTTGCCCCTTTATAGCCCCGCTACCCCCACAGGTTTAGTTGCCCCTTTATAGCCCCGCTACCCCCACAGGTTTAGTTGCCCCTTTATAGCCCCGCCACCTCCACAGGTTTAGTTGCCCCTTTATAGCCCCGCCACCCCCACAGGTCCAGTTGCCCCTTTATAGCCCCGCCACCCCCACAGGTTTAGTTGCCCCTTTATAGCCCCGCCACCTCCACAGGTTTAGTTGCCCCTTTATAGCCCCGCCACCCCCACAGGTTTAGTTGCCCCTTTATAGCCCCGCTACCCCCACAGGTTTAGTTGCCCCTTTATAGCCCCGCCACCTCCACATGTCCAGTTGCCCCTTTATAGCCCCGCTACCCCCACAGGTTTAGTTGCCCCTTTATAGCCCCGCCACCTCCACAGGTCTAGTTGCCCCTTTATAGCCCCGCCACCCCCACAGGTCCAGTTGCCCCTTTAAAGCCCCGCCACCTCCACATGTCCAGTTGCCCCTTTATAGCCCCGCTACCCCCACAGGTGTAGTTGTCCCTTTATAGCCCCGCCACCCCCACAGGTCCAGTTGTCCCATTATTGCCCAGTCTGACCCACAGGCACATGCACTGTTACAACACAAATATTCAACCACAGCAAGTTCCCCTGTATATTCTTTAGAAAGAGTACCTGGCAATATTCCACAAAGAATATTATTTTCTGATAGGCTAGCCTGGTGTCGTGGTTAACATTCATAGCTTGCATACACTGTATTTGTTGTCTCAATGTCCCTTGACAAAGTGAATTATGGAAATGGAAAAATGGTAGAATGCACCATGTGTGTCATTCAAATGTAATTTCCTTTCTGTCTGGCGTCCCACATATTTTTCCAGATCACTTTACACAATTTATAAACATATTACGAACGTCTTAATTACATCTATATTTTCATAATATCCCATTTGATTGCCTGCCTGGAGGCAAGATGTCACCACTAGTCCTAGTTGAAGGAAGGTTTGGTTTGGTTTGGTTTGTTTGTTGTTTAACGCCACACTCAGCAATATTCCAGCTATATGAAGGCGGTCTGTAAATAATCAAGTCTGGACCAGACAATCCAGTGATTGAAGGAAGCATTGCAATCTGATGTGGCTTGGTACAGGGCAAATACACAAATGGACAATCAGATTTGGAGAGAGAGTGAGTGTAATGTAAGTCCCCCCACCCACCCCCATCTCCCCCCACCCACCCCCATCTCCACCCATACACGCCAATGATGATGCAACAACTGATGTCATAGATCTTAAATCAATCCTTTATTAATGCATACAACGAAGTAGTTATTGGTGAAGACACACAAATGCACCATCTCAATGAGTGAGTTGGGTTTGTTTGTTTGTTGCTTAACGCTGCACGCAGTCTGTAAATAATCAAGTCTGGACCAGACAATCCGGTGATTGATATCATGAACACTGATTTAGGCAATTGGGATATGCTGACATGCATCAACCAAATCCTGAGCCTGACCACCCGATCCTGTCAGTCCAGACAAACATGGTCGCCTGTTACGGCAAGCTTGGGTTGCTGAAGACCTATTCTATCCCTGATTTTCACGGGTCCAGTTGGGTTTGATGCCAGTTTGAACAGTATTTCAGTTACATCATGGCGTGTCAGACTGAAGTGGTCTCATGTGTTTAACCGATCACCTATAAGTCACAGGTATATCATGGCATGTCAGACTGAAGTGGTCTCATGTGTTTAACCGATCACCTATAAGTCACAGGTATATCATGGCATGTCAGACTGAAGTGGTCTCATGTGTTTAACCGATCACCTATAAGTCACAGGTATATCATGGCATGTCAGACTGAAGTGGTCTCATGTGTTTAACCGATCACCTATAAGTCACAGGTATATCATGGCATGTCAGACTGAAGTGGTCTCATGTGTTTAACCGATCACCTATAAGTCACAGGTATATCATGGCATGTCAGACTGAAGTGGTCTCATGTGTTTAACCGATCACCTATAAGTCACAGGTATATCATGGCATGTCAGACTGAAGTGGTCTCATGTGTTTAACCGATCACCTATAAGTCACAGGTATATCATGGCATGTCAGACTGAAGTGGTCTCATGTGTTTAACCGATCACCTATAAGTCACAGGTATATCATGGCATGTCAGACTGAAGTGGTCTCATGTGTTTAACCGATCACCTATAAGTCACAGGTATATCATGGCATGTCAGACTGAAGTGGTCTCATGTGTTTAACCGATCACCTATAAGTCACAGGTATATCATGGCATGTCAGACTGAAGTGGTCTCATGTGTTTAACCGATCACCTATAAGTCACAGGTATATCATGGCGAGTCATATCGGAGTGGTCTCATGTATGTAACCGATCAACTATAAGTCACAGGTATATCATGACCAATGCATGAAACACAAAGTAAGGTCTCATGTAGTCTGTCTTACGGACCCTGATACAAATATATCCAATACAGCCCATGCAAGTCTATAATGTTTCGGCAAGAATAGATGCCTGCAGTATGAGGAAAATGAAGAGATTCTCTGGGCTCCTTTTTATCATATTTTTATTAAGATAACTGTTTTTTTTCAGTAAGATATGTTCATTTCAGAGACTAGATGTTAGTCTAGGTCTCGTGTGGAATTTCATCATACGTAATATTCGGGCATGTTGAAAATGAAGAACAAAGACTGAAAGAGATTTCTACTTACCCAAACTTTATCTATACAGACAGCCACCACGAGGTACTGAAGGAGTTGCTGCCCTTGGAGGAGGCGCCAAAACAAGATGATGCACCACGTGAACCAAGAATGTAACGTTGCTGTCTGGAGTTCCTGGAGAAGACAGAGAGAAGAGTGAGTGAGTGAGTGAGTAAGTATGGTTTTACGCAAATAATGCAAACATTTTGCCTACAAGCTAAAGTGTAAAAGGTCAATGTTTACAAATTGATTTGGGCGATTTTAAAAGCAGTTTGTGCATTTTGTTGTATATTGCTGTATAATCTGTGGTTTGCAGAAACAACACCAGCCATTCACATGAGTCAAGTGTTTCTCCTTGAAGGTAATTGTGGACATGTAACGGAAACATGCGTTACGTGGAGATTCAGGGCTACGATACACATCATACACAGTGCCTCACGTGGGGATTCAGGGCTACGATACACATCATACAGAGTGCCTCACTTGGGGAGATTCAGGGCTACGATACACATCATACAGAGTGCATTACGTGGGGAGATTCAGGGCTATGATACACATCATACAGAGTGCCTCACGTGGGGAGATTCAGGGTTACGATACACATCATACAGAGTGCCTCACGTGGAGATTCAGGGCTACGATACACATCATACAGAGTGCCTCACATGGAGATTCAGGGCTACGATACACATCATACAGAGTGCCTCACGTGGGGAGATTCAGGGTTACGATACACATCATACAGAGTGCCTCACATGGAGATTCAGGGCTAAGATACACATCATACAGAGTGCCTAACATGGAGATTCAGGGCTACGATACACATCATACAGAGTGCCTCACATGGGGATTCAGGGCTACGATACACATCATACAGAGTGCCTCACTTGGGGAGATTCAGGGCTACGATACACATCATACAGAGTGCATTACGTGGGGAGATTCAGGGCTATGATACACATCATACAGAGTGCCTCACGTGGGGAGATTCAGGGTTACGATACACATCATACAGAGTGCCTCACGTGGAGATTCAGGGCTACGATACACATCATACAGAGTGCCTCACATGGAGATTCAGGGCTACGATACACATCATACAGAGTGCCTCACGTGGGGAGATTCAGGGTTACGATACACATCATACAGAGTGCCTCACATGGAGATTCAGGGCTACGATACACATCATACAGAGTGCCTCACATGGAGATTCAGGGCTACGATACACATCATACAGAGTGCCTCACGTGGGGAGATTCAGGGCTACGATACACATCATACAGAGTGCATCACCTGGAGATTCAGGGCTATGATACACATCATACAGAGTGCCTCACGTGGAGATTCAGGGCAACGATACACATCATACAGAGTGCCTCACATGGAGATTCAGGGCTATGATACACATCATACAGAGTGCCTCACGTGGAGATTCAGGGCTACAATACACATCATACAGAGTGCCTCACCTGGAGATTCAGGGCTACGATACACATCATACAGAGTGCCTCACGTGGGGAGATTCAGGGCTACGATACACATCATACAGAGTGCCTAACATGGAGATTCAGGGTTACGATACACATCATACAGAGTGCCTCACATGGAGATTCAGGGCTACGATACACATCATACAGAGTGCCTCAAATGGAGATTAAGGGCTACGATACACATCATACAGAGTGCCTCACGTGGAGATTCAGGGCTATGATACACATCATACAGAGTGCATCACGTGGGGAGATTCAGGGCTACGAAACACATCATACGGAGCGCATCACTTGGGGAGATTCAGGGCTACGATACACATCATACAGAGTGCACTACATGGAGATTCAGGGCTACGATACACATCATACAGAGTGCATTACATGGAGATTCAGGGCTACGATACACATCATACAGAGTGCCTCACGTGGGGAGATTCAGGGCTATGATACACATCAAACAGAGTGCATCACGTGGGGAGATTCAGGGCTATGATAAACATCATACAGAGTGCCTCACGTGGAGATTCAGGGCTACGATACACATCATACAGAGTGCCTCACATGGAGATTCAGGGCTACGATACACATCATACAGAGTGCCTCACGTGGGGAGATTCAGGGCTATGATAAACATCATACAGAGTGCGTCACGTGGGGAGATTCAGGGCTACGATACACATCATACGGAGCGCATAACGAGGGGAGATTCAGGGCTACGATACACATCATACAGAGTGCCTCACGTGGAGATTCAGGGCTACGATACACATCATACAGAGTGCATTACATGGAGATTCAGGGCTACGATACACATCATACAGAGTGCCTCACGTGGAGATTCAGGGCTACGATACACATCATACAGAGTGCCTCACGTGGAGATTCAGGGCTACGATACACATCATACAGAGTGCATTACATGGAGATTCAGGGCTACGATACACATCATACAGAGTGCATTACATGGAGATTCAGGGCTACGATACACATCATACAGAGTGCCTCACATGGAGATTCAGGGCTACGATACACATCATACAGAGTGCCTCACGTGGGGAGATTCAGGGCTATGATAAACATCATAAAGAGTGCCTCACGTGGAGATTCAGGGCTACGATACACATCATACAGAGTGCCTCACGTGGAGATTCAGGGCTATGATACACATCATACAGAGTGCATTACGTGGGGAGATTCAGGGCTACGATACACATCATACAGAGTGCCTCACGTGGAGATTCAGGGCTACGATACACATCATACAGAGTGCCTCACCTGGAGATTCAGGGTTATGATACACATCATACAGAGTGCCTCACGTGGGGAGATTCAGGGCTACGATACACATCATACAGAGTGCCTCACGTGGGGAGATTCAGGGCTATGATACACATCATACAGAGTGCATCACCTGGAGATTCAGGGTTACGATACAAATCATACAGAGTGCCTCATGTGGAGAGTTTCAGGGCTATGATACACATCATACAGAGTGCTTCACCTGGAGATTCAGGGCTACGATACACATCATACAGAGTGCATCACCTGGAGATTCAGGGTTACGATACACATCATACAGAGTGCCTCACGTGGGGAGATTCAGGGCTACAATACACATCATACAGAGTGCATCACCTGGAGATTCAGGGCTATGATACACATCATACAGAGTGCATCACTTGGAGATTCAGGGCTATGATACACATCATACAGAGTGCCTCACGTGGGGAGATTCAGGGCTATGATACACATCATACAGAGTGCATCACGTGGAGAGATTCAGGGCTATGATACACATCATACAGAGTGCCTCACTTGGAGATTCAGGGCCACGATACACATCATACAGAGTGCCTCACGTGGGGAGATTCAGGGCTAGGATACACATCATACAGAGTGCCTCACCTGGAGATTCAGGGCTATGATACACATCATACAGAGTGCCTCACCTGGAGATTCAGGGCTATGATACACATCATACAGAGTGCCTCACGTGGGGAGTTTCAGGGCTATGATACACATCATACAGAGTGCATCACCTGGAGATTCAGGGCTACGATACACATCATACAGAGTGCCTCACATGGGGAGATTCAGGGCTACGATACACATCATACAGAGTGCCTCACCTGGAGATTCAGGGCTACGATACACATCATACAGAGTGCATCACGTGGGGAGATTCAGGGCCACGATACACATCATACAGAGTGCATCACGTGGGGAGATTCAGGGCCACGATACACATCATACAGAGTGCATTACATGGAGATTCAGGGTTACGATACACATCATACAGAGATCATCATATAGCTGATATATGTTTCACCGGGGCCTATTGGATATCTGCTAATGCAGCTACAGATGTGACAGGTGTCTATGCAAGTATATATGTCAGGACATCCCCACACTGGCTCAAATATCACCTCACACACTACAAACTAGCAGCTTTCTTTAAGTGAAGCATAACGGCATTCACTTTAGAATATTAAAATGCCAAGTTATTCATGTAATTTTTACAGTTTAATATGAACTAGTGCTCAGTCAGTGTATGTCGATATCAAGGCATTCAAAAAGGATGGTCGGTATTGGGGCCTTGAGATGGCTGGCAAGGGACGTGATGAAATAAAACATTGAGTAAGTAGATGAGTGTCTCGATAAAGCTTCAGGCCATGGTAACATGTGCCCGTCCCGTAGCTTGCCCGTCCCGTAGCTTGCCCGTCCCGTAGCCTGCCCGTCCCATAGCCTGCCCGTCCTGTAGCCTGACCTGGTACGAGAACATAGCCAGCCATGGTCCCCAGGTATCGATCAATGTATGACATTCAACATTACAGGTGGCCACTCGGTAACTAACTGCATTCAGGCTGTTGCACAAGTATTTGATTGATTAAACTAAACGATCAGCCTTACCGACCACTGTTAAATCGATTAAGGTTCGCATATTTCCTGCACTAGTGTAACTACCTATGCACAGATAACCTAAAAACCTGATAGCATTCAAACACGTCAAACGTATAATACAACCAGATCTAAGGAGGCATGCTGGAGTTATAGTTAAATTACAGTTTCAAATCCTGGTCCGCAGTATAGAAAAAGATTTGTCAAGTCAAAGTTGCTCTGTCAAGAGAGTGAGCGAGTGAGTATTATTTTATACCGCTTTTAGCAATATTCCAGAGATCCCTCAAGAGTGTTGTGTTGGGGGGGGGGGGGGGGTGAGTGGTGTTGGGCTGTGGGGGTGGGGTGGTGGGGTGGTGGGGGTGCGGGTGGGGTGGTGGTGTCGGGGGTGAGTGGGATTGGGTAGGTGTTGGGGGTGGGTGGGAATGTCTGGGTACATGTGAGTGCATTTGGTAGATGTGGTAGGTGTTGGGGCTTGTGGGTGACTGGGTGATGAACGAGGTTCACCCCCCAAAAAATTAAAAAATCGATCACTTGACATCTCTCCCCAACACACGAGCGAGATTATCAAATAGATGGCCCTACAACCTGCTTCTTGTGTCCCATGTGTGTCGGGTCAATCACGACATCTGTCTGGGGCCATATCTGTACAGACAAAACGCCATCATATGTCGATTATCATGTGCAATTTCATAATTGGCAATTGTCACTCTGTTTCCGCAGGTCAATCATGCAGCCGACATTGATTAC